AGAATGCACATAGCAGCACTGTTATAGGCAAAAAATGGAAATCAAATATTCAGCACTGGTAGAATGGTTAGATTCTACCATTGCATATTCATGTAGATTCAAACAGTAGAATTCTACACAGTGGTGAAAATGAAGGAAATAGCTAATCAGAAGGTGGATGAATATCACAAACATAATGTGGAGCAAAAGAAGCAAATCATAGAAGGATGCCATCAGCATGATTCCATTTGTATAGTTCAAAACAGTGTATATTGCTTTAAGAATGTATTCATATGAGATCAAATTATTAAGAGAAGCAAGTATATTATTGTCCCCAAAGTTAGAATAATGACTTCCTCTGTGGGGAGGAAAGGGAATGTGATTGAGAAATGGCACATGGAGCTGCTGAGATGCTGACAGCCTTTTATTGTCTTGGGTGGTGACTTCATGGATGTTTATTTTAAAAATATTATTTAAACTGTGTGTATGTATTTTATACATTCTTGTTCACATGTGACCTATATCATGATAAAAAGTAACACACAAAAAAATAGCAGGAGCCGCTTTCCTTAGTGAGGTGATGTTCTCCTTGATCTCTGCAGGCTACTAGCTTCAACAGAGAAAAAGTACGTTTCTCTCTGCTAGGACTTTGCTGAACACAGCAAGAAAGAGTCATCCCATGACAACATTTTGAGTTTTTCTCCTAGTGTTTCCCCTAATGCTACAGCCTCAATCAGCATTTGGTCTGCTCTCCAAAATCAAATTGCCAAAGTTGACAATTTGACCAAATATTTTATCATCTCCAAACAAGTCACCAGCTTCCCAACCTGTGATATATATCGCCACTCCTCAAAGCCCCTCCCTCAAACACTAAGCCAATTCTGTATATTAGATTTTGTTATTTTCAGCACCCTGCTTTCTGTATCACTTCAGAATTTTACTTCAGCTGTGAATTACAGAGACCCAATCAGTGTCTTAAAAAAGAAAAATCAGTTCTAGTGTTCCCACAAAACACAAATTTCATTGGTTAACTTTGGCTCGATAGTTCAAAGATGGGTTCACAGTCTGATTTTCTTGGCCTCACATGGCCAACTTATGGCCACAAGATGGATGGACTTTTCTATATCCAGCCTTACACATGAGTTCCAGGTAGGAAGATGAGGAAGTAAAAAGGACAAAAGGGCAAGTCTGTCCCGCTTTAAGGAGCTTTCTTGGAAGCCCCACATAACAATTTCCACTTCCATCTCATTGACCAAACAGTGTCATGTGGCTTCCCCATATTAAAGGGAACCTGGAAATGTAGTTTTTAGCTGGCTACGTTGCTACACCCAAACAAAATCAGGTTCTGTTAGTAAATTGTGCCTCACCTATTAAAAATAACTATATAACTTTATTATCAGATGATGTGTTTGTCTACATTTTTAAAAATCTACATTTAGGACTTCCCTAGTGGTTCAGTGGTTAAGAGTCGTGCTCCCACTGCAGGGAGCACGGGTTCAATCCCTGGTCAGGGAAGATCCCACATGCTGTGCAGCGCAGCCAAAAAAAAAAAAAATCTACATTTAATTAAAAAGTTCAATAAGGTTATGGCTACAAAATCAATGTACAAAATCAGTAGCATTCCTGTACAACAGTAATAACCAATTAGAAAATATAAAAATAAACTCTTTCATGACAACAATCTATAAGGGACCTAAAGGGGCAGCGGGTTGTGGGCGGGGGGCGGCGGGTACCTATCAAAATAGGTGCAAGGGGCTTCCCTGGTAGTGCAGTGGTTGAGAGTCCGCCTGCCGATGCAGGGGACACGGGTTCGTGCCCCGGTCCGGGAAGATCCCACATGCCGCAAAGCGGCTGGGCCCGTGGGCCATGGCCGCTGAGCCTGCGCGTCCGGAGCCTGTGCTCCGCAACGGGAGAGGCCACAACAGTGAGAGGCCCGCGTACCGCAAAAAAAAAAAAAAAAAAAAAAAAATAGGTGCAAGTACTTAGGAACTACAAAATATTATTGAAAGACAAGCAGTCTGAGTAAATTAAAAGAATAATCCTATTTATGAATAGGAAGAATAACTATCTTAAAGATAACTCTTCTCCCCTAATTATTCTACAAGTTCAATAAAATTCAAAACAAAACTTCTTATGGTTTTTCTTGGAAGTTGTTAAGTAGATGGTAAATTTTATATGGAAGAGCAAAGGCCCCAGAATAATAAGGTAGAAGGACAGGCCCTATTACATAGCAAGATTCATTATAAAGCTGTAGTAATTAATACCGTACACTAATAGAGTAGTATTGGCCTGGGTATGGACATTTTAGACAGCTCAGTACAAAAAGTATTTACTATTTAATAAATAGTGCCTAAACTCTGACCTTCCAACTGATTTCTCAGCTTCTCCTGCTCTAAACCATTTTGTGCATTTTTTGCACATTAGCCATAATGTTTTCATAACGTCACTCGTATTAGAAACAAAGCAAAAAAAAGATTTCAAAGCTCTCAACTCTGTCCAGGATCAGTGGGAGCTGAGAAGGGGACTGATTTTCAGCGTATGATGATTTCTATGGTGCAAATACCATGACAGATTTCAAGCTATTGACACGATGTCAACCAGTTCACAAAGTTCCTGAAAATTTAACAGTTGGCTCTTGGGTGCCAGCACAAGCGAGTTCCCAAAAATCAGTGTTCATGGTGCACACCAAATACTGGCTTGGCATTCAAGCCCGGTCAAGTCACACTGCATTGCTTGCAGTTTCCTGAATTAACCAAGCTATTTCTCCCTTCTGGTGTCGTGCTCAGTTGCTCCCTGTGCCCAGAATGTGCTTCCTGAATGCCCCTTTGCCCTCTCCATACACAGTAACCATACACAGCTATTCATCTTTCAACTCATCCCAAGGACCACCTTCAAGAAAGGGTCTCTGTCCCCTAGGAAAACTGTTTAGTTACTCCTTTGTGCTCCTGTTTCTCTATGAAGACACTGAAACATTCTTTGTTGTGGCTTTGCTGTGGCTTTGCTGCGGTCTCTCCCTTCTAGGTTGTAGGCTGCTAGAGATGTTGGACTGTCTTTCACTGATCTCTGAATTATAAGTGTGAAGTGTAAAGCCTGGCACTCAGTAGGTGTTAACTATCATTTGTTGACCCATAAATGAATAAATAATGTTTGCCCAAAGACTGGTGTCTATTACTGTCATACTAATTTTCTCCGTGAAGACAGGGTGGCCGACATAGATGGCTGCACTCAAGCTGAGCCCTAAGGATGGGCATTCTGGAAAGAGAGAATTGTACTGATCTTTCCCTTTATTGGGTAATTGCTTGCTTTATAAATGTTTTATTACTGTGTTCTTTTGTGGTAGCTTGGAAATATTTGGAAAAAGGCTCAAAATATGACTATTAACCTAGGGCTAAAAAAAAATGATTTTTGAGGAAATATTCCATTTTGAAAATCACACCTGGTGCCTGCTGTCTGCTTTTTTTTTTTTTTTTTTCATAAGTAATCTCCCCTTTGTTTTTGTGGCCATGCCTTGTGGGACGTGACATCTTAGTTCCCCAACCAGGGATTGAACCTGTGACCCCTGCAGTGGAAGGGTGGAGTCTTAACCACTGGACCACCAGGGAAGTCCCAGTAATGTCCCATTTTGAAAAGCAGTAATACATTTGAGCATACCTGGTGCTGGTAGGGCTCTAGTGAACATCACAGAGAGGTGTTTATACCCCTGAAGCAAAAGCTGTTTTTTTGTTGAATCATTAAGGGATAATCACTTTTGCTTTGTAATACATAATTGGATTACCAGTTGTTTAAGAAAAACTCAAATGATATTATGGTGAGTATTGAAAACATGATTCCATTTATTAAATCGTATATTGGACTGCTCCCCTTACAAGTGTGAGGTAATTTATTTTCTAATTACTGCTGTCTACAAAAGGCTCAGGGAGACAGAAGATAATTCAGAGGCAAATAGTTTTCACACTTCCTTGTAATTGCGGTCTCTTAAGTTTGTTATGATTTCAAACCCATATATACCTACATATACATATGCATAGATGTGCATACACCATATATATATGTGTGTACATACATACTATACACACATACACACAACCTCACCTGAACCCATATCTGTTACTGAATTCTGTCCTTGTAGGGCCCGTTGAAAACATCCACTTCTTTGTATTCCTTTTGTCAAATCCTCAACAGTTGCCTAATCTCTGGCCTTCCAACTTATTACTCAGCTTTCATCAGTTTCCTTCCCTTCTCTAAACCATTTTGTGCATTTTTATAGACAATGCTTTCCTAACATCACTCATATCCATCTGTGTGTACCAAAAAGGTGGGTCAGTTCTGGGGTCAGATCTAGTTCTATTTTATTAGGACTCAATTTTTTTTTCACTCCTAGAATATGCTCAACTTCTAATTTAACTTCTGAACGCATCCACAGGCATGAGATGTGCCATGGTTTTATTTGTTTGTAATCCATCAAACAGTGCTTATGTACTAGGGATTCAATGGAGATATCCTGGTTGTCCTTCAATATTCTACTTTTCTTCCATATTATTAGAATTTTAGCTAGGCACAGAATTGCCCAGAATAATTTACTATATTTCATCAAGTCTTTATTTTATAAACCACTAAGAAAGAAAGAAGACCCAAGATGGCGAGTCCAGTAGGTTACCACTGCATTAAAATGCAGTACCAAGGTTTTCCATCTTCAGAGAGGCTATTGAGTCTTACTTTATTCTAGAGAAAATTCTGGAAGCCCATTTAAAAATGATTCAATACTTAAGTTCCAAAAGTGTTGGTTATCAAGCCAACCTCGACACTTCACCCTACTGTATAAAGAACGGCCTAAGTGTGCGCCAGGAGTTTTCTCAGAACGTTTTGCCTCGCGTGAACCCAACCACATCACGCCACACCGGAAGGCGGCACCGCCTGGCCAGGGCTGGAGACCCGGGGAGAGCCGCCATTAGAAGCGCCAGCAGCCGAGAGCGGCCCCGGGGGTGAGCGGTCTCGGGGGCCTGAGGGCCTCAGGGTCGGACATGGAGCCGGGTCGGCGCGCCCCGGGGCGCCGGGAAGCGGCAAGGGGGCTGCTGCTCGACGAGGCTGCGGCCGCCAAGGGGTTGCGTGAGGACCTGAGGGGCGCGGCAGCCCAGCCCTGGAGAGGCCTGGCGCGGATCCCGAAGCAAGAGCGTCCGCGGCGCGAGGAGGCGGCGGCCGAGCACGAGTTCCGTGAGTCTCGGAACAAGGCCTGGAGACGCCGGCGCTGGCGGCGCCGCGCGAGCGCGGGGAGCTGGTTGAGCAGTGTGGGTGCAGCGCTCGGGCCGCGGCGGTAAGGGACCCGTGCGCATCCTCATCCCTGCGCCCTCTGAGAGCTAGTTTTCAGCTTTGGGATCCACCCCCACCGAAGTTTTGGTTCACATTTCTCAGGCCGTTTTTTTCCGGTTAACCCTGCGCTGTGGGTGGAAGGAAAGTGTTACCCTTTCAAATTAAGGAAAAGAATTTTTCAAGAAATGATTAAGCCCTTTTACAAATAAGGAAAGAGGGTTTTTTTGTTTGTTTGTTTTGTTTTTTTGCGGTACGTGGGCCTCTCACTGTTGTGACCTCTCCCATTGCGGAGCACAGGCTCCGGACGCGCAGGCTTAGCGGCCATGGCTCACGGGCCCAGCCGCTCCGCGGCATGTGGGATCGTCTCGGACCGGGGCACGAACCCGTGTCCCCTGCATCGGCAGGCAGACTCACAACCACTGCGCCACCAGGGAAGCCCCTGAAGGAGTTTTATGTGCTGTTATCTCCTATAGCCTGACGCATTCACTGATTTATTGTGTGACTTTAAATAAGTCACTTAATCTTTCTGTACTTTAAGTTTTTAAAGCATGGAGGGGATCATCTATGCCTTGGGGATACATTTGTAGCATAAACTCAGGGACGCTGTTTAAGGGTCTTCAAGGTTGAGAATGACGTCGAGTCTCTTAACGAGCACACCCTCCAAGTTGGGATAGGTGGGATGGCCTCATTTCCTGAAGACCAGCCTTGCGGGCAGAGCACCAGTTTCTTTTCTTTTTTCTTATAATTTTTTTTTCCCCCGGTACGCGGTCCTCTCATTGCTGTGGCCTCCCCCGTTGCGGATTACAGGCTCCAGACGCGCAGGCTTAGCGGCCATGGCTCACGGGCCCAGCCGCTCCGCGGCATGTGGGATCTTCCCAGACCGGGGCACGAACCCGTGTACCCTGCATTGGCAGGCGGACTCTCAACGACTGCGCCATCAGGGAAGCCCTTATAAATTTATTTATTTTTGGCTGCGTTGGGTCTTTGTTGCTGCACGCAGGCTTTCTGTAGTTGCGGAGAGCGGGGGCTACTCTTCGTTGCGGTGAATGGGGGCCTCTCATTGCGGTGGCTTCTCTTGTTGCGGCCTCTAGGCACGCGGGCTTCAGTAGTTGTGGGTCGCGGGCTATAGAGCGCAGGCTCAGTAGCTGTGGCGCACGCACTTAGTTGCTCCGCAGCATGTGGGATCTTCCCGGACCAGGGCTCGAACCCATGTTCCCTGCGTTGGCAGGCAGGTTCTTAACCAGTGTGCCACACAGGAAGCCCGATGTTGAATTTTTTTAAATGCTTTTTCTAAATCAAATTAAATAATCATGTAGTTTTTCTTTTTTAGACCACTAATATAGTAGATTACATTGATTGATTTTCAAATATGGAACCAGTTTTGCATTGTCAGGATAAACCCCACATGGTTATGGTGTATTATACTTTTTATATATGACTGGATTTGATTTGATAATGTTTGAGGAGTTTTGAATCTATGTTGTTGAGGGATATTTGTTTATACTTTTCTATTCTTGTAATGTCTTTGATTTTAGGATCAAGGAAATGCTTATCTCGTAAGATGTGTTGGGAAGTGTTTCCTCCTCTTCTCTTTTCTGGAAGAGATGGTATAGACTTGATGTTATCCTTTAAATATTTGGTAGAATTCACCAGTGAAACTATCTGGGTATGGGGATTTCTTTTTTGGAATTTTTAAAACTACAAAGCCCGTTTCTTTAATAGTTATGGGATTATTCCAGTTATCTGTGTAATCTTGAGTGAATATTGGTAGTTCGTGGTTTTTGAGGAATTGTTTCATTTCATCTAAGTTGTTGAATTTATGTGCATGGAGTTGTTCATAGTATTCTCTTTTTCATCTTTTAATGTCTGTGGAGACTGTAGTGCTCTGCTCTCTTTCATTCCTTACATTGGTAACGTGTGTCTTCCCTCTTTTTTCTTAGTCTTGCTGGAGGTTTATTGATTTTATTGACGTCTTCAAAGAAGCAGCTTTTGTTTTTATTGATTTTTCTCCGTTGTTTTTCTGTTTTCAGTCTCATTGATTACTGCTTTTACCTTTGTTGTTTTTCTTCTGTCCGCTTGATTTACGTTTATTTTGCGCTTCATTTTTTACTTTCTTAAGGTAGGAGCTTAGATTATTGACTTGAAGCCTTTCTTCTTTTCTGATCATTTAATCCCATAAGCTTTAGCTGCATCCCACACATTTTGATGTATTTTATTTTTATTTTCATTCAGTTCAAAATATTTTCTAATTTCTCTTGAGATTTCCTCTTTGATCCATGGTCCAGATTTTTTTTTTTTTTTTTCAAAAATTGGAAGTTCTCATAGTACTGAGCCTACCTTCCCTCCTGGCAGTATTCTTCTGGAAGTGATTGTGGTTACCCAACCCTTCCATCCAACGATTGAACAAATATTTATTGAACACCTACTAGCACTAGGCGCTGGGATTACTTCAGCTTCCCCATGGATGTGTATTCAGGTGAAGGAAGCAGACAGTGAACAAGTATATATGTATTAAATGTCAAATAATATCAAATGATATGAAGAAAGAATGGAGTAGGGCATGGGGGTAGAGAATGACAGGGGAAAGAGGATTGGGTGGTCAGGCGTGGTTTTTCAGAGGTGGTACCATTTGAGGTACCACCTGAATGACATGAAAGAGGAAGTCTGGACTTGTTTTTCTAGCTCAGCATGGCCCCCTCCTGTTCTGACCCTCTTTCCTCAAACTTGCTCTGCTACTGAAGGCATGGAGTGTTGTACCCCTAAAAGTTTAAGTGAATGATACAGCTCTGTGTAACCTGTTTTTTTTTTTTTAAAGTATGTCTCCTACACTAACCTAGATCTTTATGGCTACCAGTACCCTGCTACATCTTTTTTTTTTTTTTTTTTTAATTTATTTAATTATTTTTGGCTGTGTTGGGTCTTCGTTTCTGTGCGAGGGCTTTCTCTAATTGCGGCGAGTGGGGGCCACTCTTCATCGCAGCGCACGGGCCTCTCACTGTCACGGCCTCTCTTGTTGCGGAGCACAGGCTCCAGACGTGCAGGCTCAGTAGTTGTGGCTCACGGGCCCAGTTGCCCCGCGGCATATGGGATCCTCCCAGACCAGGGCTCGAACCCATGTCCCCTGCACCGCAGGCAGATTCTCAACCACTGCGCCACCAGGGAGGCCGTAACCTGTTGTTTTTGACTGAACATTTAACCTTTACTTGATTTTATCCATTACATTTTTAACGCATATATAGTAAAGTACTCTTCTAAATATTATTTAGTTAATTGATATGTTTATGATTTTTGTCTGGGCCATTTTCTCGGCTCTGTCACTTATTACCCAGAAGGTAGGCGGTGGTGTGTTGGTAAGGGTCTAACTACCAACTCTCTGGGAGAAAAAGTTCTGATTTGTAGTGTTTTCCAATTTCCTTTGTGTAATGCTTCCACTGTGACTGATTTCAAGCTACAATGTGATGTCACTGAACACAGAGTTGAGAAGAGTTACACAAGGTCGGTTCTTATTAGCCTGTACAAACTGGCTCCTTCACACCACTGAAGGAAGGTTTTATAATCTGTTTTACAGGTTGGGATATTAAAATTCAGAATTGTTACAGGGTTACACAATTAGTAAGTCGCGGGCCAGTCAGTGAACATTTTAAGCCTCTAGATATTCTGATGTAATTGGCTTGGACCAGGAGTTTTTTTTTTTTTTTTTTTGCGGTACGCGGGCCTCTCACTGCTGTGGCCTCTCCCGTTGCGGAGCACAGGCTCCGGACGCGCAGGCTCAGCGGCCATGGCTCACGGGGCCCAGCTGCTCCGTGGCATGTGGGATCTTCCTGGACCGGGGCACGAACCCGTGTCCCCTGCATCGGCAGGCGGACTCTCAACCACTAGCGCCACCAGGGAAGCCCCGGACCAGGAGTTTTTTATGGTGTTTTTTTTTTTTTTTCTGTACACGGGCCTCTCACTGTTGTGGCTTCTCCCATTGCAGAGCACAGGCTCCGGACGCACAGGCTCAGCGGCCATGGCTCACGGGGCCCAGCCGCTCTGCGGCATGTGGGATCTTCCCAGACCAGGGCACAAACCCATGTCCCCTGCATCGGCAGGGGTACTCTCAACCACTGCGCCACCAGGGAAGCCCTATGGTGCTTTTTAATTGTCTTAGAAACTTCCTTAAAATTAAATTTTTAAAAATATTTATTTATTTATTTTGGGCTGCGTCGGGTCTTAGTTGTGGCGTACAGGCTTCTCTCTAGTTCTGGCATGTGGGCATCTCTCTAGTTATGGCCCACAAGCTCCAGAGTGCGTGGACTCGGTAGTTGTTGCACAGTATGTGGGATCTTAGGTCCCCAACCAGGGATTGAACCCGCATCCCCTGCATTGGAAGGCAGTTTCTTAACCACTGGACCACCAAGGAAGTCCCTTAATTTTTCTAATAGATATGGTAGAAAAGGGGCAAGATACTCAACTTCAGGGACAGACTAGAATCCATGTGTCATATTTCTGGGCACAGTAGGGTCTTGACTTGCTATTTCAGGGACATACCAAAGAGGGGTAAGGACCTGGAAATAGAACCCCCCTCCCATTGGATTAATACACTGGGGCAAGGAGCTATGGCCAGGCTGTGTACGAACCAGGAGAAGGAGCTGAGAGGAGTCCGGCCTAACCAGCAGAATCTGTTAGCTAAAGCATGTGGCCAGTGGGCAGTTTGGACCTCTACTTCGGCAGTACACTCTCATACTGACACCCTGGACACATGCAGTGACTGGAAGCTTGGGCTTTGAATTCAGGCTGCCTAGGACAATTCTATCATTTATTATCTTTAAGGCATGAGCAAGTGGTTTAACTTTTCTAAGCCTCAGTTTTCTCATCTGTAAGATGGGGGTAATAATGTCTATTCCATCAGGTTGTTAGTTTTATAAAAACCCTAGGGTGCTCCAACATTTGGAGATCAGGCAGAGGAGGAAGAACCAGTGAAAGAGACTGGAAAGCAACAAGTGGTCTAACGGAAGCCTGGAGGAAAACGTGTTAGAAGGAGAGTGTGGTCCTCTGTGTCAAATCTGCCAGAAGTTCAGTGCACATGACAGAGAAGTGATGACTGGATTTTAGCAAGATGGAGTGACCCTGATAAGAGCAGTTTTGGTGGAGCAATAGGCATGATGTCTGATTAGCACAGGTTGAGATGAGATGGTGAGATGAGTACATGGAGACATCATTGTAGAACATCGTTATAGAACATTATAATAAAAAGTTGAGGAACCCAGCAGGATCCACCTCACACCAGAGGGCCCACATCAACAAGAAGTTTGAGGGTGATGGGAGATTGAGAAGTGGAATGGCAGTTGGAAAGGAATGTGAAGTTAAGGGATTTTTTTTTTTTTTACACTAGAGGTATCATAACATCTCTGTATATGTTGAAGGGAACAGTCCACTGGAGAGACATTAAATGATGCAGAGGAGAAAGAGGATAATTTCCAGGAGATAGATGAAATAATTGAAAAGATGAGAAGGGATGGGATCTAGATCCCAAGTGGAGAGGTTGGCCTTGGGAAGGCACAGGGATGCTTCATTGATTGTAGCAGTAATAAAAACAGAGAGTGTGGGTATAAATGTAGGTAGGTAGATTGGTTGACTTTTAGCTGTCCAGGTATAGAAATGGAGCAGATAGCAGTTGGGTTTAATCTCAGAATTTGGATTCTGCCAACTAGTCGGATGAAGGAAGTGAGTGGTGAGGGAGGTAAATGTGTTTGCACGGAAGTGGTTCAAAGATGGACCATAGGATCTAAACTGGGTGAGGAGGGAAGTAAGGGCCTAAGGGATGGATAATATAAAAAGATGGTGAGAAGAGTGGAATGGAGGACTTGATGAGGTCGCAAAATTTCTGGACTGGGAAAACTAGAGCAGGTGAGCTGAATGGATGAGTCCATGGTCAGAGAATGGGATTCTTGAAGATGTCAGAGGTCGTGTAGTTATTGTTGCAGGAAAGAGAGTAGGGCACTGGAGGATGTTCACATCCCAGGTCACATCCGAGTCCCTGGGATGGCTGCCAAGTGTGGGTTCTTGGCTTTGCGCAGGAAAGAATTCAAGAGCGAGCCATAGTAAAGTGAAAGAAGGTTTATTCAGGGAGATGCACACTCCATAGACAGAGTGTGGGGCATCTTGGAAGGCAAGAGGCACCAGGGTATGGGCTTGTCAGTTTTTATAGGGGTGGGTAATTTCATAGGCTAATGAGTGGAAGAAGTATTCCAGCTATTTTAGGAAGGGGAGGGGATTTCCAGGAATTGAGCCACCACCCACTTTTTGACCTTTATGGTCGGCCTTGGAACTGTCATGGCACCTGTGGGTGTCTCATTTAGCGGTGCTGATGTGTTACAATGAGCTGAGCATATACTGAGGCTCAAGGTTTAGTGGAAGTCGACTCATCTGCCGTCTTGGACCTGTTTGGTTCTAATCAGTTTATGTCGCATCCTCAGGCTGTGTCATTCTTTTAGAGATTGTGCCCTGCCCCCTTCCTGTCTCTTTATGATGTAGTGATGATAGTCATGTCAAGAGTATGACTCTGAAATTAGGTGGCTGAGGTCAGGTGGAGGAAAAGATTATTGGAGGTGAGGGGGTTAGGGAACTGAGAGACCAAGGTGTTGGATTAATCATCTACCTGGATGTTGAAGTTACTTAAAGTAGTAGCAAGAGTAGCAGTATTGGGCTGGCCAAAAAGTTCGTTCGGATTTTTCCATAAGATGGCATGGAAAAACCCAAATGAACCTTTTGGCCAACCCAGTGGGAGGAGCCAAGCGATAGAATGAATGTCTTTGACTGGACTTGGAAGCATGCTGAAAAGTCCTTGGCAGATGCTAGGGAAACTACTCAACAACACATCTATAGGGACTTCCCTGGTGGCACAGTGGTTAAGAATCCGCCTGCCAATGCAGGGGACACGGGTTCGAGCCCTGGTCCGGGAAGATCCCACATGCTGCGGAGCAACTAAGCCCGTGCACCACAGCTACTGAGCCTGCGCCCTAGAGCCAACGAGCCACAACTTCTGAAGCCTGCATGCCTAGAGCCCGTGCTCTGCAACAAGAGAAGACACCGCAATGAGAAGCCCGCACACTGCAACGAAGAGTAGCCCCCGCTCGCCACAACTAGAGAAAAGCCCGCACACAGCAAAGAAGACCCAATGCAGCCCCCCCCAAAAAAAAAAAAACTGTAAAACCTCTCTTAGGTCCTTTCTTTTTGGAGATGGTCGATTGCTGATTTCACATCATCCCAATTCTGAGTTTATTCCCCAATGTTGTGATTGTCCTCTGAGAGCTTTCCAGCTCCTTTACATTACAAAAGAACAACAACAAACCAACAACAAACAAATAAACAAACAACTCAGTAAATCCTGGAATCTTCTCTAGGCTATTTAATAAAACCTGCCATCTGAATATGTATTTGTGTGTGACATATAATGTTCATAGTGTATAGTAATGTTAATGTTTATAGTTAAAAGTGTGAATCCACTTTTATCTCCTTTCATATAAATGAGAATAAAACAGGTTCATCCCTTTTAGCCTTCGTTCATGTATATTTATATGATGTGCTGTGTTTTAAGGTTCTGTTTCTGCAGGTCTGGCATCTGCACAGGGTTGTGCAGACAGCAGTTTTATCTCTATAAGCTTGCATAAAGTATTTGGGCTCTTCCCTGTGTAATCTTGTACAAACGTCTTATAAACAACACCCCCTGAGAAGTCAGTGGCCACCCTCTGACCTCCTAGAGCTAGATACTGCATTGCTGACTTCAGGGTGGTCCTTTGGAATAATGTTTTGCTTGGGACCAGGAAGATTTTTAAGGCTGTGAAAACACTTGCAGCATGAGGAGAAAGTGGAATCTTGATAATACAGCTTTATGAAATACTGAAGTAAACTTCCCACGTCCAGAATAGCAGAATGTGAAAGGCTCAAGGCTGTTGTTTCAAGTTTTTAGTTCCAAGGTTTGCCACACGAGGTTTGCTTTCTCTTCAGCCCTCCCTGTCATGCTTGCTTGCTTTTAGTGCTGCCAAATGAGAGAAGCTTCCAGAATGCTGCTAAAAGCAATAATTTGGAGCTTATGGAGAAGCTGTTTGAAAAGAAGGTTAACATGAGTGCTGTGAACAATGTGAGTAGAAATCACAGATGTGACAAGTGACAGTGGTGTGGGTTTACACAGTCCAACTGCAATAAAAATAAAAGTGATTCCGCTAAATGAGATGAGGGAGAGCTCCGTTGCTGGCAATTCCATAATGTTTAAGCTAAAGGTGGAATCAAGCAGTGGAAGAGGCTCTGGGTGTTTTAACTGATCTATTCCACGGGCAAGCGTCCAGGGTCTTTATGTGCAGCTGTACTAAGTCTGTGGGTGGACAGTGAAGCCAACTGTCAAGGTTATGGTCCTGGATGATAGTTTGTGGATCACTTTGGCCTCAAACATTCTGGAAAGGCAGAACATCTTTTGCTACACGGTTCATCATTGTTTTCTCGCCAGTGATGTCCTTTATGGTTGGGGCATTCCAAATTTAAAATCCAATGGAGAGTATGGGTTTGCATTTTATTGCTTTTGAAATATAGTTCATCTGCATGTTGGGCAGTGAGGCCTCTTCTGAAACCTGGCTCTCACTTGTTCTTCAAGTGCCTGGGTTTAGGGGAGAGGTCCCACTGCCAGACATATGGATTTCCTACTGCTTGCTGCTGTGGGGGTTTCCTGACAGCCCCACCAGGCAGGGTTTATCAAAGTGAACAGACTGGGGGCTGTGTCAGTTGTTTAGGACAATTTGTGGGGATGGCAGAGGTGGATGTAATGCTAAATGAAGCATAAACTTTAAGACACCTGCTTGCACAGACTCCTGCCAAGGCACTGGGAGGACTCTAGCAGTGTGTTCCATTGTTATATGATTTTGTAAAATCTGAAAAAGTAAGAAATTTTAACTGTAATCCATTAAGCTTTCTGACTCTGGCTTTAAAGAGGGCTCCCAAAGAGTGTAAACTTGACGTTCCACAAAACCTGGATCTATCCCAGGCAATGAGGTCATAGAAACTGAGGTCATGCATCATGTGCAGTGGAAGGGTGTTTAACAGTTGTGCATGTGTGTGTGTGAGGGGATCTGTGTTTATGTGTATGTGGGAGTTTATGTGTCTGTGTATATTGTGTGTGTGTACATGTGTATGTCTGATGTGTTACCTGTGTATACCATATTCATTGTCCACAGACATTCTAGAAAGAGTAGAAGAATAGCAAATTTTTACAGCATAACAATTTTAGGAACAAAAAAAAAAAGGAAGGGAATCAAGGAAGGAAGGGAGCAAAACTTAAAGAGATAAGCAGGGATCTTTGAAGGTAATATCTAGATTAAATTGTTGAATAGGTAAAGCAATAATCATTTTTCCAAGCAGCAGGAAATAGATTCTCCAGTGTACTTTTATAACCATTTGAAACTTTTTTCCGTATAACTTTCTGATATTTTAAACCATATTTTTGTATTAAAGTACTTAGAGAGAGAGTACACTTAAACTTACAGTCAGTGTAGCAAGTTATTGTAAACTCCTGATGAATTATATTATGCTTTCTAATGACATCTCTTTTAGTCCTGTTTACAGCAAATTGTTGACATGGTTACTTCTAGAGTTCCTTAAAATCTGTGATGACAGAAATGAAAAAACATGGAAGTGGTTTTATTGAATTATCTTGGATGGTATTTTGATTTGCATCCTTATTCATGAGTAAAGTTAAAGGGGAGTTTATAAGCCCAAATTTTTTTTTTTTTTTTTTTTTTTTTTTGCGGTACGTGGGCCTCTCACTGTTGTGGCCTCTCGCGTTGCGGAGCACAGGCTCCGGACGCGCAGGCTCAGCGGCCATGGCTCACGGGCCCAGCCGCTCCGCGGCACGTGGGATCTTCCCGGACCGGGGCACGAACCCGTGTCCCCTGCATTGGCAGGCGGACTCTCAACCACTGCGCCACCAGGGAAGCCCTATAAGCCCAAATTTGACATACTAGGATATAGCTCTAGACTGCAGAAAATAGCAAGGGTAACTCAAATTTAGTTTATCACCAATTTAGCTACCAAGGAAATCAGATTAAACAGTTCTCAATTTTTTCAATAAATTATTTATGAGAAACAAAGGATAGTAAATTCTTTGGATGCAAGATCAGTATCTAGAATGTGGGAAGTATGACATGTGTTTCAGTTACAAGCAAAACATCCGTTGTCTGAAGCACGTCAGACTGTCTCTAGACATCCTGGGAGCACCAAGTTGGCTTTTCTTTGAAGCAAAAGATATTTATAGCTTTCTTTCTCTCTGTGTGTTTTTTCTTCCTCCCTCCTTCCTTCTTTCCTTTCCTTTCCCCATCCATCCTTCCTTCCTTCCTTCCTTCCTTCCTTCCTGCCTGCCTGCCTGCCTTTCTCTCTCCCTCTCTCCCTTCCTTCCTTCCTTCCTTCTCTTTCTTGATTTGTTTGTTTCAGTAAAATTTACAGTCCGAAAATTACAGAGGAAAGAACCATATATGGGGCTTCCCTGGTGGCGCAGTTGTTGAGAGTCCGCCTGCCAGCTCAGGGGACGCGGGTTCGTGCCCCGGTCCGGGAGGATCCCACGTGCCGCGGAGCGGCTGGGCCCATGAGCCATGGGCGCTGAGCCTGCGCGTCCGGACCCTGTGCTCTGCAACGGGAGAGGCCACAACAGTGAGAGGCCTGCGTACCGCAAAAAAAAAAAAGAACCATATATGGATTGAACTTCTAGGAAGATTTTTTGTTATGCATTATCAACATGTCCTACCATTATTAATGATTGCATACAGGAGAAATACAGCTTTTACTCTCTAGTTGAAATCCATACAATCAGTCATAGGTTATGCAGTGGATTTCAGCTTGAGGCATATCCTCCAGTTGTTTGCTAAATTCTCTATTATCTAACAGTAGAGAAATGCAAGATTATGCTGGATACAGTTCTCACTACTTTCAAAGGCTAGGCAAATAGTAGATAAATAATCAAAACACAAGCACCTGATAGAAAATTATGGCTGTTCAAGAACCAGGAATCTTGGGCTTCCCTGGTGGCGCAGTGGTTGAGAGTCCGCCTGCCAATGCAGGGGACACGGGTTCGTGCCCAGGTCCGGGAAGATCCCACATGCCGCAGAGCGGCTGGACCCGTGAGCCATGGCCGCTGAGCTTGCACGTCTGGAGCCTGTGCTCCGCAACGGGAGAGGCCACAACAGTGAGAGGCCTGCGTACTGCAAAAAACAAAAACAAAAACAAGAAAAAAGAACCAGGAATCTTAAGAAGGCTAAATAACAATCAGATGACTGAAAACACAAATTGTGTTTCCTCAGATGAAGCGCACAGCCCTGCCTTTTGCAGTGGGGACAGGTCATTTGTCTGCGATGGATTTCTTGCTGAATCACAAGGCCAGGGGGTTGTTGCTGGTGAGGTAACCTCGTCTTCGTTGGGGAGAATGGATCGGAGCATAACCAACGTAAGGGGAAAATCTGGCCGCTTGGGTTATCTTTTCTGCACCTACACACAAAATATTTCCATTGGCAGTGTTCATTTTGGAAAGATCTATTTAGAGAATACGCATATTATGTGCTTTTTGTATTTGATAGTCACCAATTGTTTACTCACTACCTATAGGATTTACGCTTTTATTTATTTTCCCATATTGACCTTATGGCCAGTAGCATGCATTTGTAAGAATAAAATGGTTGCCTAGAGTGTAACTGGGGGCATAGAAGACAGAAGCTAACTGGACTCAGGGACATTAAATCTGGAATTTTCCCTGTGAACTCTGATAAATAAATAAGGCGTATTAAACACATACTGTGTACCAGGCACCAGTCTCAGGACTTTGATATTTAGTGCCCCCAGCCTTGTGAGAAAAGTATTGCTATAATGTCCAATTTACAGATGAGGGGCCTGAGACAAAGAGAGGTTAAGTATCTTGTCCCCAAAATTACATCTAAGAAGGAGTGGAGGCAGGATTTGAACCTGGCTTATATGATTCCAGAGACCATGGCCTTAGCCACATATCACCTTGATGATTTATCTGCCTAGACATCAAAATCCACCCTAAAGATTTTCCACGTACTTTTCCCAACTTCGTTTAATACTTTACCATGGAACAAGGAAACCAGTTAGGCTGGAGAGACCCAACATCATGTTTATCATCTCCAGTTGCAAAAGTAGGTGATAACCTTGGCTTTTAGTTAATCCAATGGATGATAGTTCTTGAGTCTTAGTTAATCCAATGGGCCATGTTTTTGAAAAGTTAAACTATTCAAAAAATTCTTAAAGAGCTATTCTATTTTTTCCCTGGACTGACTCTTTGGAGGGTAAGACTCAGCATTGCTTTACCTTCATGTCTCACAGGGTTAGGTTTAGTATGTGCTTAGTAAATCTTTGGAAGATGAATAAATGAAATCAGTTCAAACCAATTGGTCACCTTATTGGTTATCTTATTGGTTTTGTCGGCACTCATAGACATGGCCTAGACTTCATAATGATGAGAGTTTCTCTTTGTTTCACCAGAGGGACACATCCCTCTCTGTCTAATTATTGCTCTAGTATTGGTAGGCAAGTGGATTGATAAACAACAGAATCAGAATGAAGAAAAACCCCTTTTAAAAAATTGGCACTGCAGGGCTTCCCTGGTGGCTCAGTGGTTAAGAATCTGCCTGCCAATGCAAGGGACACAGGCTCTTGCCCTGGGCCAGGAAGATCCCACAGGCCGTGGAGCAACTAAGCCATGCGCCACAACTACTGAGCCTGAGCTCTAGAGCCCGCAAGCCACAACTACTGAGCCCATGTGCCACAACTACTGAAACCTGTGCACCTAGAGCCTGTGCTCCGCAACAAGAGAAGCCACGATAATGAGAAGCCTGCGCACCGCAATGAAGAGTAGCCCCCGCTCACCGCAACTTGAAAAAGCCCGCGCACAGCAACGAATACCCAGCACAGTCAAAAATAAATATAAATAAAGTTTTTAAAAAAATTTTTTAAAAATTGGCACTGCAAGCACTCCAACTTAATGAGTGTAATAAGTTGTATTACAGTTATAATACTTAAGGAACATGTTGTTTAGGTCTGAAAATTATCATTTGATTATTTTTTTATGTTATTTAGCCTGCAAAAGATGTTTTGGTAATAGACATGATTGCCAAGAGTCTAGTTTTATTTTAACATTGAAACCCAGATACAATAACTTTTTATTTTACTTTAATTTTTAAATTAACATACTGTTCATTAACTTTCTTCTTGGCATACAGCTTTATGAATTTTAACACATGTATAAATTCATGTAACCACTATCACAATCAAAATACAGAACAGTTGCATCATCCAGAAAAATCCCTTATGCTGCCTCTTTGTAGTCAAAACCTCTTTGTAGTCAAACCCTCCCCTACCCTGGCAACCACTGATCTTTTCTCCATCTCTTTAATTTTGCCTTTTTGAGAGTGCCATATAAATGATACCATATAGTATGTAACCTTTTGACACTGGCTTTTTTCACTCAGCAAAATTTCTCTGAGGTTCATATGTTGCATGTATCAATAATTCCTCCCTTTTTATTGCTGAATAGTATTCCAGTGTATAGATATACCACAGTTTATTATATCCATTCACCAGTTGAAGGACATTAGAGTTGCTTCCAGTTTTTGACTATAACAAGTAAAGCTGCTGTAAACATTCGTGTACAGGTATTTGTGTAAGCATAAGTTTTCATTTCTCTAGTGTAAATAAATACCTAGAGAAGTGAGATTACTGGGGCATATAGTGAGCTATATACAAGAAGCCACTAGACTTTCTTAGAGGGGCTGCACCATTTTCATTCCCACCAGCAACGTACTAGGTTTCCATTTGTTCCACATCCTCATCAGCACTTGGTATTGTTATTTTTCTCCCTTAATTTTAGCCATTCTAATAGGTTTGTATTGGCATCTCATTGTGGTTTCCTTTGCATTTCTTTAATAGCTAATTATTATTAAATCATATTTTCTTGTGTTATTTACCATTTGTATATCTTCTTTGGTGATATGTCTGTTCAAATCTTTTGAACATTAAAAAATTGATTATGTTGGTTTTTTTAAATTAATTTTATTTGATCTTTGCAACAACCTTGTGTGCTTGGTACTATTTTTTAAAAAATATTTATTTGGTTATTTATTTATTTTTGGCGTGTGGCAGGTCTCAGTTGCGGCGCGCGGGCTCTTTGTTGCAGCGTGCAGGCTTCTCTCTAGTTGTGGCATGTGGGCTCCAGAATGTGAGGGCTCTCTAGTTGTGGCGCACGGGTTACAGAGCATATGGGCTCTGTAGTTGCAGCACGCAGACTCCCTTGTTGTGGCACGCAGGCTCAGTAGTTGCAGCGCGCAGGCTTAGTTGCCCCATGGCATGTGGGAATCTTAGTTCCCCCACCAAGGATCAAACCCATGTCCCCTGCATTGGAAGGCAGATTCTTAACCACTAGACCACCAGGGAAGTCCCTGTTTTAATTGTTGAGTTTTGAGAGTTCATTATATATTCTGGATCCAAGTCCTTTGTTAGATATGTGATTTGCAAATATTTTTTCACACTCTGCAGCTTATCTTTTTAGTGTTTTTCATAGAGCAGAAGTTTTTAATTTTGATGAAATTCAATTCACTTGTATTTAAAAAATGAATCTAGCTATTGGTATTATATCTAAGAATGATTTGCCTAACTTAAGGTTATGAAGATTTCTCATATTTTTCTTCTAAAACTTTTATAGCCTTGTGTTTTACATTTAGATTTATCATCCGTTTTGAGTTAATTTAAGTATAAAGTTATAAGGAATCTGGTATATGGATGACTGATTTCTTCAACACCATTTGACACCAATGTCACCAGTTTTTAACACTTTTGCCGTGCTGTTTGGACCTGTGCGCTATCCATGAGCCAGTCTGAGACCTGGGCAGTGGTCTACCCCATAGTTCAGTTCCCCAAGCTTCTGTCACACTGTTTAGGGTCAGGAACATGTACAGGTCCGGGGGGAGGCCAGTAGTACATACACAACTTATGGGGTTGCTTTCTTGAACTCCCTCCTCTCCAAGATCATCTCCCCTACATTCTCCACCTACAGGGCCCTTCTCCACCTTTTCCTGGTCTTCTGAATAGAAAGCCAAGGGTGTAGTATCCCAGCTCTGCTGTGTACTTCCCACAATTATGTCTGCCTCTGGGACTAAGAGAGGAAAAAAAACCCCTTTTCCCCCCTTCCCCACCAGCATCCTCCTCTTCTGACCACAGTTCCTCGGGTCAGAGAGAAGGATTCCCTCTGTCACTGCTTGCCCAGTCACTGCTCCTACCCCTTCTACTGTGGGGTTGCAACTTTGGGAGTGAGGCTTGCCTGGGGCGGAACCAGAAGAGAAAACAAAACAAAATTAGGATTTCCCCCACCTTCTCTGCCCTGTAGGGGCCCCCTTCCACTTCTTAGACCAGAATGGGAAGCTTCTCTTGGAGCTGTTTCTGTCCAGGCCAGTGATTTGTACTGCTTTGAGTCCCAGCTGGAAGGTATGGAAGAGAAAACAAAAAGATCAGGAAACCCTGATTGTTTGTATTTTGAGTTCTGGTTTTCTTCCCCAATCTACCTGCTGTCATTTATTCCTCAGAGTCCTCAAATAGCTGTTCCAAATGTCTGTCCAGAGATTTTAGTAGCATTTGTTGGGAGAGACAGAGTGGAGTGTACTTATAATATCTTAAACAGGACCATAACCCTAAACCTTGGACATACTGTGAAAGTGGAGAGAATTGTACAGTAAACACTGGTGTATCCATTGCCCAGGTTCAATAGCATCTTTTCTTTTAAGCCGCATGTCTGAGGATTGCCATGTGTCTAATGTATTAAACACACTACTTGTTTATGTCAGAGTGTAAGTCAGTTGTACCCAAAATGTTGGAGAGAGGTTTTACCACTTTGTTCTCTGAGTCTCTCTGAGGCTTTTCCGAACATATATTTTTATTACCCTGTATTTGAAGCATGACTCTGGCTAGCATCAGCTTCTTGTAACTTTGCCTTGGGGGACTGAAATGCTGTCAGGTGGGACATAGAATCATTCCTGATGTACCTCTGTACTCTGCCTTGAAAGATTCATTAAGTTAAGTATTTGTGTAACTAAATCAATTATTCACAGTGGCATTAGAGCATAATGAATAAAATGCGTTTTATAATTCAAGCAATGCCATGTTTGGCCAGACCTGGCAGCTTCTTTATCTGAGTGATGAGCCCTCAGTTTGACTTAGCAGTTCTGTCTTTTGAGTTCTAACACCTATTTGCAAAGAGCCAACAATGGCACCCCTTCACCATCAATATTTATTCAGTGCCTGTTGTGGGTGAGTATCAATGCCAACTACTGGGGATTCAACTAGATATAAGTCCTTGCTACTCAAAGTAGGTCCTGGGACCAGAAGCACTGGCATCACCAGGGAGCTTGTTAGAAATGCAGAATCTTGGGCCCCACCCCAGGCCTCCTGAGTCAGAATCTGCGATTTAACAAGATCCCCAGGTGATTGTTGCAGGAAGCACTGGCATAGATACAGTCCCTGCTTTGAGGAACCTACACTCTGTTGGGGAGCAAGGACTGAGACTGTAACAGGTAAGTTGCATGCTGAGGATCAAATGCATAGCCCAGAGGCTGAGGACTCCAGGTTCAAAGTGGGCAGCATCCACAAATCTGGGGAAGAGGCAGACGAGGTAAATGGAGACTCTTACTCCAGATGTGAATAAAGGATCCCAGGTGGAGTGCAGGTGGTGCCCAGAGGATAATGCAAGCATCTACTCTCAGAGCTGCTTACTCTGAGTGCAAGTGTTCCCCGGGGAGGTTATTGACCTTCTTGCCTGTCATCAGACTGGTAATGAGGACAGGTTGTCGGTGTCTGTGGGCATTTTACACTTTATAGAGCATCAGGTACTGACTACGAATGTAATCTATGACTCATGCTCATAAACTTCTCAGGCATGTCAGTCTCCTATCAGAAGACTTACTTTACATCTGTGAGGAGTGATTCTTTGCCTCTGAGGAATGATGGCTCCATTTGGAATTTATGGTTTCAGAGACTCAAGTTGTTTGCCTCTTGAATTCCTTGCTTTTGGATTTTATGATGGGTGTTTGAAATCCTTAAGTGTTGGCTGCTTTAAAATTAGGAATGACCTCTTAGGGAAAAATAGAGCTTCTATCAAAATATGATCCATCATCTATCCCAAATATTTCTGGCCTCTTTTCTGACCATATGTGAAACTAGATTTAGTGTTACTGGGTGTGAAACATTGATTTATAGGGAAGGCTAAATTACGGGGTAACATTTCTTGAAAAACCTCAACTAGTTATTGTACATCATTGTTCCTTGGGAAAAAGTGCAGAAATTGGTAAGTGTTTTCTTCACTCTAGACTTTAATAAACTGCCTCACTGTGTAGTGTGACAGCTGAAAGGTAAATATTATAGGGTATGTACATTTAGAGACGGGTTTCTCCACAGTGGCACTATTGACCTGTTGGTCAGGTGATTTTTTGTTGTGGTGGAGGTTGGGGGTGTTATAGGATGTTTGCAGCATCTCTGGTCTCTACCCACTAAATGCCAATATCTCCCCTAGGTCACAACAACCAAAAGTGTCTCCAGAAATCTCCAAATGACCCCTGGGGGCAAAATTGCTTTTTTACTTCTCCATACCCGAACTTTACTGAGAATAAGAGAAAACATTAATGCAATTTCTGGGGACAGCCAAAGTAACTGCCAAAAGACTTATACACTTTAAAATGGAAGTCCCCCACAGACCCTCATTCCTTGTTTATTTATTTATACACTATACATTTAGCAAATTGGTCTCCAGGATTACAAATACAGTTGATTATGAGAGGCAAATAAGATGTACTGAGAAGGCTTACTTTTTGGAAGGCATGTATACAGAGTTATGGATGATATTTTTTTTGAGGTCCAGTACCATATTTATGGTGATTAAATACCTAACCATTTAACATGTACAACTGTAGTATTGTTTTTATTAGGGTCTGTCTTAGCTTGGGGTGCTGTAACAAATATACCATAGGCTGAGTGGCTTCCACAACAAATGTTTATTTCTCACAGATCTGGAAACTGGAGAGTCCAAGATTAAGGCGACATCACTGCCAGCATCTTGTGAGAGCTGCTTCTGGTTTTATCCACTCTCAGTGGAGAGCGGCAAGAGGAAGCAAGCTCTCTGTGTCTGTTTATAAGGGCACTAATCCCATTCATGAGGGTTCCACCCTCCTGACCTACTTATCTCCCAAAGGCATGACTTTCAAATACCATCACATTAGGGATTAGGCTTCAACATATGACTTACCAAGGGACACAGACATTCAGTCCATAGCAGGGTCCTATCTTTTTAAAAAGGTGTCAATGACAGAGTTTTTGAGTGTTGAGCCCCTGCCCCATTTCCCCTATAAACCCTGTGGGTTTTGCTGTTGTTGTTGTTTGTTTTCATTTTAAAAGAGATTTATTTTAAAATTTTTTTCAGCTTTATTTAGGTATGGTTCAAATAAAACTGTGATACATTTAAAGTGTACCTGGTGATGATTCAGTGTGTGTGTACGTTGTGAAAGGATTCCTCCCATCTAGTTAATTAACACACTCATCACCTCATTTCTTATTTTGATGAGAACATTTAAATTCTACTCTCTTAGCAAATTTTAATTATATAAAAGTGTTATTAACTATAATCACCATGTGATACATTAGATCCTCAGACCTTATTCATAGTTAATGGATGATTTTTTGACAAGGATAAAAGGAAACAGAAAAGCAGACACATGAACTTACAATTAAGGATGCTGAGGCTTAGAGTTAACTAAGTTGACCAAGATTATAGCATTTGAAAGTGGTAGAGCCAGAGTTTGAGGTCAGTTTCGTTTGAGTCTACAGATCATGCTCATAATGTCTGCTCTATATACTTCTTTAACTTGGAACTGAGGGCGCAGGTCTCAATTTTCCTCAGGTTACAGCCCTCCAATCCCCCCTCCCTGAGACAAGTGTTAACTGCTGGCTGTTTCCTTTCACACTTCTCTTCCTGTTCATTTGGTGTACAAGTCTGAGTACCCCCAGCATCACTGCAGGTCACTAGGTCTTGAGCGAAATCTCTCCTTCAGCTTCTTTTATGCATGTGTGATTTTACTGAGAGAGTATATTTTAAATAATTTATGCATAAATAGAATTCTTTTTATAACTTCAGTCTTTTCTGTTTCTTCTTTTTTGTGTAGTTTCCTCTTCTCCAGTAACTACATTTAACAATGTGGGATCTGTGTGTTTATTTCTATACTTTTCCTCATGCTCATATAATCATATCCACATTGGGTTTTTTTTTTAATATTAATTAATTAATTAATTAATTTATTTATTTATTTATGGCTGTGTTGGCTCTTTGTTGCTGCGAGCAGGCTTTTTCCAGTTGGAATGGGCGGGGGGCCTCCCCTGTTGCCGTGCACATGCTTCTCGTTGCAGTGGCTTCTCCTGTTGCAGAACACGGGCTCCAGGCATGCAGGCTTCAGTAGTTGTGGCTCACAGGCTTCATTAGTTGTGGCTTGCGGGCTCCAGATTGCAGGTTCAGTAGTTGTGGCACATGGGCCTAGGTGCTCCACAGCATGTGGGATCTTCCCAGACCAGGGCCTGAACCTATGTCCCCTGCATTGGCAGGCGGATTCCCAACCACTGTGCCACCAGAGAAGTCCCCATATCCACATTGTTATCTATCTATCCACTTACCCACTTATAATAGATATAGATACATACATATACACATATGAGTTTTTGGTCATAGCTAGTTTTATAAAAAATGGGGTCGTATTATATTTTCTCTGCATCTTATTTTCCACATTTAACAACTACCTAATGGAAGTCTCTCCATGTCAATTGTTATAGCCCTAATTAATTATTTTTAATGCTTACATCATGTGGTATGACTGTTCCCTGATTTGTTCAGTGTTCCAATATTGATGGACATTTACCTTGCACTGTTTTAAGTGTTGCAGTTAATAACCTTATTTATATAACATTAAGTCCTAAAACTTATTTTCATGGGATAGAGTCCCAGGAGTGGGATTGCTGGTTGTATTTAAAATTTTAATAGATATTGCCAGATTGCTTAAACTATAATGGTTTCATTTCTACTAATACCTTAAGAGAGCACATTTTTGGGTCCATTTTTCAATGGGTTTAATTGCCTTATTCTGTTGATTTGTAAGAGTACTTCATGTATTACAGAAAATAACCATTTATCTTTATTAAGATACATTTAAAAAAATCTATCATTTGTTTATTGTCTTTGTTTAACATCTTGTTCCTTTTATAACTTTTGAATTAAAACACTATACATTATAGTCTAGATTTTCTTCTAATATATTTATTGTGTGCTTTTTTTGTATGTATGGTATGATATAGGATTTAATTTTATCTTTTCCCAGATGAAGAACTACTTGTGCCTATACCACTTATTAAATATATTCATTGTCCCCATAGAATTGAAACATCACCTTTGCTGTATATTAAACTGTCATTTCTTAATTTTCAACAGTTAGGTATTAACCTAGCTTTTGTTGGCTGAGACAGTGTGGTGGCTCACCCAAGTGACAGATTCCTTTCTTCTCTTTTCTGGAGGAAGCATGGCTTGACAGTAATTCACCTTGATCCTGGTCTGGAAGCCTTGAGATCATGCTCATGCTGGTTAGAGTTGGAGCAGACCAGAGAGCCAAGAATCAGGTAGGTATGTGGATCACACCTGGACAGAAGCCCTCTCCTCACAGTGCAGGAGGAGAAGGTTGCAGTGTCATTGTCTCCCCTGCCCTGGCTCTCTTTAGGATGGAATGAATGCCCTCCACTTTGGGGCTCAGAGCAACAACATGGGCATTGTGGAGTACCTCATTCAAGATCTACACCTGATGGACTTGGACCAGCCTGATGAGGTGTGTTTGCTGTTGGGTGGACAGGTCTCAAATACACTCCCACTAAATTCTGCTTTCTTCCTGCCCTTGCAGAAACTGCCAAAGCAGCCAGCACAGACAGACCTGACCCTGTAGCTGGATCCTGTCTCTGTCTGGCAGACCACAGAGCAGATGGAAATTGTTGGTGCCTGTGGTGGCCCTAGCACCTGCATGTGGGGAGGGCAGGAGGTATTGAGGAAGCTGCCTCTACTCCCTCATCCTGGCCAGGGGTGGACAGTATCCACCCTGTTTGGGTGCTTGCATTTTACTCGATTATGCCTGGCCTTTTGGGAATGTATTTGACCCAAGGCTGTGCTGTAATGAGCCGTGGAATATAGTGCAATTTTACCATATCCATCTGTATTTTTTTCCTTTCATAAGAAGTGATATAGTAACAGCTACCACTTATGGAGTATTCGTTAGTGTGCTTGGCCCAGAGGAATGCTGTGTCCACACATTATTTCAGCGAGAGGTCTAGGGTCTGGCACGTATGGATGCTTAACAAATCATTGCTGGATGAACGAATTATACTGTTAATCCACACAGTAATCCTATAAAGAAAAAATATTTTACTTATTTTCAAAGGAAGTCTTATTTTTACTGATATTTGAGGAAGTTGAGGCCCAGAGAGGCTAGGTACCTGGTCTGAGGGCTCCAAACTGAGAAGTGACAGAGCCAGGGTTTGAATTCCGGTTTGGTTGACTCTAGGCACCATGCTGCACCGTCTCCCTTCTCAGAGGGCAGTGGGCATTGCCCATGTGCTAGGGACTGTCTTTTCCCTGGAATATCTCATTCTAAGCTTTTTTCATAGGATGATATCGTCTGTGGGATTGGCATTTGGAGTTTGAATGGAACCTCTTTTTCACTGTGCCTCTAGAACTTTACTCTCCATTAAAGTCTCTCTAGAAGTTAATCAGTAATATTCGCTTTGTTTCACCTCTTTTAAAAAAACCTTCACATTTTTTTCTGACCTCAATCTTAAAAATAATAACAACAAAAGCCATTTCTTCAAGTGAAGTCTATAAATTTATTTTACTTCTTCTGAATATGACTGAACAACTATACCTTTACAGATTGGAGGCAGACAGACTTGGGCTGAGGCCTGGGCATATATTAACTATGTGGCTTTAGCAAGTTCTCCAACTGCTGAAATCCTCAGTATCTCCCTCTGTGCAATGGGAATAATAAAACCTACTTCATGGTAGCACCAAGGCATGATGGGGTGGGGGGTGGATGTCTTGACCTCCATGTCATTTTTTATCAGCAATACCTCCATTCTTTGATAGAAATGGTTTTGATGCTTCCTCAATCTTATATACAAATACCTATGCCAGTGAGCAAAATGGCAAGCCATTCTACCACCCCTTTCCAATCAGACGCCACCCCTAAGCCATTCCTATGTAGTAATATATCAGAGTGTTCACTGCTGGAATGCTTAAATGAGTTAATGACTATAGAGCACTTAGCGGAGAACCTGGTACTTGGTAAGTGCTCACTAAATGTTAGTTATTATAACAATTATTATAGGGTAAAATGCTATCTAATTTCCTCAAACTGATAACCATAATCAAACAGCATTTAATGTCAGGATGGGGAAGTCAGACATTCCAGCTTGATCCAGGCTAACTAGGAGTGTGGCCTATGAGTGAATGCCATTCAATTCAGTTCAGCAGATTATATGTTCAGGACCTGATTTTTTGTTTGTTTGTTTTAATAAAAGGTATTTTAAACTGAAGCATAGTTGATTTACAATGTGGTGTTTGCTTTCTGCTGTAAAGCAAAATGATTCAGTTATACATATATATACATTCTTTTTAGTTAATTTTAATTTAATTTAATTTTTTTATTGAAGTATAGTTGATTTACGATGTGTTGATCTCTGCTGTACAACCAAGTGGTTCAGTTATATATATTACATTCATATAATATATATATTCTTTTTTATATTCTTTTATCTCAGGATATTGAATATAGTTCCCTGTGCTATACAGTAGGACCTTTTGTTTATCAGGACCTGTTTTTGCGGTACGCGGGCCTCTCACTGTTGTGGCCTCTCCCCTTGTAGAGCACAGGCTCCGGACGCGCAGGCTCAGCGACCACGGCTCACGGGCCCAGCTGCTCTGTGGCACGTGGGATCCTCCCAGACCAGGGCATGAACCCGTGTCCCCTGCATCGGCAGGCGGACTCCTAACCACTGCGCCACCAGGGAAGTCCCTCAGGACCTGTTTTGTGTGAGAACTGGATTGTCTTCCGTTTCATTGGGCTCTGGATGCTTTCACGGGAGACGGCTGGGTGTGGGGAGGATCAGGCAAGCTGAAGGGGCTCAAAGACCAAAGCAGTTTGTGGGGAACCTTCCCCACTTCTGGAGCTTCTGCTGGTCACTATCTCTTCGGCAGGCTCTGGGCTTGTCCTGTTCCACTCCTCTTCCTCCAACTCTGACTATTTGTTGGGGAAAAGGCTGAAGAGCCCTGGTAGCAGACTGTGCAGAGCCAGATAGATGTGAAGCTAAGAGGACCTAAAATTAAGATGGGTGGAGAGACATACGAGGAATGAGCAAATAATGAGTTCACTGGGTCATCTAGGGAGAGAAGAATCTCTGAGTCCAATTTTAGTCCTAAAGAAAGCTGGATTAATCAATAAAACGACAAAGTCTGTCCTTTTTCTGAGATCTATGAGTGAGGTCAAGGATACTGGCAAAAGCCAGTAGGAACTGGGATCAGGAGCTCAGGGTCAATTAATTCAGCGTTGGGTTTTCCATCTGTATTTGCTTAAAGATACTGTGGAGCTCATGAAATGCACTGTATAGAAAAGACTGCTCTGCCTTCACAGCGGGGCCTTCCTCCCTAGTTTCTTATCCACAGAAAGTGATGGAGAGCCTTTATACCTGCCCAGTGTTAGTAATCCTTCTCATTAGCCTAGAGGGAACTCCAAAAGCTAACAAGGAAAGCCTTACAGGGAGGAGGTCTTTATTAACAAAATGGATTTAACTAGGCCTGGAAGAGGTTGGGTGAGATGGGAGAGATGGAGGACACTGGAGTATACTGAAGTTTCTCCCAACTCCGTAGCTCTAGAAATCATGTGGCCTCTCCAGGGGAGAGAGATTAGAGCAGCCAGGAGAAGTCATAGGTGAAGCAGTCTAGATACTTAGAATCTACATGTAAACTCCCACCTAGTGATCAAAAATAAATACTCAGACTAAAATGTTTGGAGAGGGAGGGACACAGAAGGGAATGGCCTAAGAGGCCACTCATTTATCTGTTGAATGTTTATAAAGTTTGATGGTACGATGTTAGGTTGGTTTCAGCTGCATACGTCGGGGAACTTCCACTGGTTTAAAGGAATCTATATATGAAGTCTCTAGAGGTCCAAATGCAAAGAAGCATCCTTTTTTTGGAGGACTGGGGATAATAATCATGAAGGGATTTGAGAAGACAGTTTCCTATGTGGACCTGAGGCCCACATCTAACAGCCTTGGATTTCATCAAACCTATTGACTCCCATCTGGGGAGAACTGACCCAGCAGCTCCCCTTCACACCAGTTCCATGCCTTCATATGCAAGACACTGCTCTTTCAGCACTTTGTACTCATGGCAATGTTCTTGTTCTCTCTCAAATCTCTAGTTATTCAAGGCCCTGCTGGTTTTCCCCTTCAACTAGGGTTCTGCTGTGGATTCCTGATCGCAGGGTGAAGGGAAATGTCTTGGGTGTGTAGACATGCCCAGGAGGCACCGGGGGGCTTCATGCTGGGTTCCACCGGCCTTCTCTCCTCAGAGGCTCTCCAGGGCACCCTCTCTGGGATCCCTGTGGGAAGGGATGGCCAGGTTGGACTTAAGGTGCACATTGAATGGCTGTTTGTGAAACATTTACCGAACTTGGTAACTTGTCAAATAACCCTGGCAGTAAACTTAAAAATGAAAAATAATTTCTAATGAATAATTGCAACTCCTCAGACTTATTCACGTGCAAACAATTTAAATGCATTGAATTAGGACATGTTAGGTTAAATGCACATTAAGTTAATAAAGGAAAAAGGAACCGGAATTCTGGACCGTCCTTATTTTTGTTAATTAAAAAAGGGATTCAGGATCCCTTCCTGAGCTGGGAAGTTGTTGTGGTTTGTGTGGGGCTTGAAGCTTGAGGCCCTGACACCAGGCTCCATAGTCCTCCAGGCTGGAAAATCTCCCTGCCTTCCAAGTGAGGGCAGTCTCAGGTCTCCGAGGCTGCACTGGATAGAGGCCCACTTGAGTGTAATTTAAAAGTGTTGGGTGGTTAAAAAATGAAATAAGACATAAGAAACTATATATTTTTTAAAAACCCACATTTTTGAAATTCTTGTTATTTTGCCTAATAACTTATACTAGAGATGGGAGAAAAGATTTGTATCTCATTTTACTGTCACCTCATCTTTCTTCATGCTACCTTTTGATATGTTTATAAGATAGAGACTACATTAAATGTTCTTATTTTGTGTAATTTGGCTTTCACTTTTTTTTCTTGATGATAACATTTTTTAAAGGGCATACGAAGTTTAAAGTAATAGCTGTTTTCTTGGTGAGGAAAAATGTTTTGTCTTTGATAACCTCCCATTTCTTACCAGACTAGGCTTTCTTTGTGGATGGGTCCTTTGTCACTCTGTTTAGGCATGCAGAAATGCAAGACTTTTTAGCAACCAAGGATAAAAGAGTACGGCCAGTTTAAAGTTGAACAGACTCCTGATACTTCTGGTAGTATGTGTCCCCAGACGGCTCAATATGTATTAGTTAGAATTCTTTTTGTTATGAGTGACAAAAATCCAGTTTAATCTAGAATAAACATTAAAGGTAGTTTATTAACTCCTAACTAAAGAGTTTGAGGGTGTATCTGGCTGGCTTCAGGTATGGCTGGGTCCAGCTCTTTTTTTTCCTCCCAACTCTTGGCTGTCTCTGTTGGCATTATTGATAGGTTTACTCTCCACATGGTGGGAAAGATGGCTACTAGCAGCCTCAAGTTTTATATATGAAAGCTCACAGGTGACTCTGATTGGCCTGTGGCTTGGCACGTGACCATCCTGAACCAAACACTCTGACCGAGGGGTAGATGGTGGAAGAGGCAGGAGCTATAATGAACAGCTCCACAAAAATGGGGCACAGGGGCTGTTCTCCAGTGGAAAAGATGCGGACAGGAAACAGGTCACCAGTGCTCTTTCCTGCTGTTCCAGGGCATTAGCAACCTTTAAAGGCTGTCTCCACCCATTTCTTGTCACCTGCTCCCTAGCCAGAAACACACACTCACACTGAGTTATGTACTCCCACAAATCGCCAGCTCAGGTCCTGCATTTCATTATGATCACTCGTATGTGTGTTCGTCTTCCCTAACAGACTCTGAGCTTTTTAACATTGGGGTGCCATATTTTTTATCTTGGCCACTCGTGCTTAGCACAGTATCTGACATATACATAGGTGCTTAATAATTGTTCAATAAACAAGTGACTGATTTATAAGGATGTGTGACTAAATGTTTTCTTCTGGTATATCAGCAGTGTTTCCCATCCTCCTTTTTGTGATTTGTTTATATGGACCTTTATCTGTTGTCAGTATTAGCAGATATTTGTATAAGCCAGACACAGTAATTTTGTCTCTGTCATTTCCCAAGAGCTGTTCATGGCTCAAGACTAGATCTTGATCTTCAGTTAGGGGTCTAATCTCACAAGCAGCAAATGGAGGCCCCAAGCAGTTTCTGTCTCTTCCCTTTGCCCTTCCTTAGTGATTCGATGAGAACCATCGATAATGAGTCAGGATTTCAAACTCTGAAGGGCTGGGGATGTAGGTCTAATTGACCACATATCTGGCTGAAGAATACAAATGAGGTGAATTTTTGGTGCCACTTTGTTTCTCCGGCCTCCCTACATGCATGAGTGCAGAGCCCTGGAGGGCTGATCTATACACACTTTTTTTTGGCCATTGATTATTTTAGCACTTTTCCTTCCTTTCTCTTTAAGTTGTCAGAGAATCATGAGCCGCTATCTCAAGTTAACAGTGACCATTATCTTTTTTTTTTTTTTACATCTTTATTGGAGTATAATTGCTTTACAATGGTGTCAGTTTCTGCTTTATAACAAAGTGAATCAGTTATACATATACATATGTTCCCATAACTCTTCCCTCTTGCATCTCCCTCCCTCCCACCCTTCCTATCCCACCCCTCCAGGTGGTCACAAACCACTGAGCTGATCTCCCTGTGCTATGTGGCTGCTTCCCACTAGCTATCTACCTTATGTTTGGTAGTGTATATATGTCCATGCTACTCTCTCACTTTGTCACAGCTTACCCTTCCCCCTCCCCATATCCTCAAGTCCATTCTCTAGTAGGTCTGTGTCTTTATTCCTGTCTTGCCCCTAGGTTCTTCATGACATTTTTTTTTTCTTAAATTCCATATATATGTGTTAACATACGGTATTTGTCTTTCTCTTTCTGACTTACTTCACTCTGTATGACAGACTCCATTATCTTTTTATTATCTTGCATTAGCAGGAGATCAGATAACAAATCTAGATTCAGGAACCTTCTGATAAAGAGTCTTGTATCTTGCTTTTCACATTTCAAACGTCTTGCTAAGCTTTTAGTTAATAACATATCAAGCCAATCTGTGAATGTTTTCTTTAATCAAAGAAAATACTTCTGCTATTTTGCCAACCCAACTTCTTTTCCTTCTTTTAAATATCTCAGGTTAGAAAATTGAGTTTTTTATGGGTATTTCATTGTTCTCGATGACATTTTGGCTGTTGAAAATGCAGTCTCCCTTTGCAATGTGAAAAGTTGGAGAAATTACCGTAATCAGAAGATTCTGCACTTGAACCTTCCTCCCCAGCAAATCACACCTAAACGTCCCTCTTAAGCTATATTCTCTGGATCATTCCTAATTTCTCCATCCCATTTCATATTGACCTATTCTCAAGAGTTTTCCCGTTGATTCTTGGTGAACATTAGAGGTAAATATACGAGCAGGCAAGGAGAGCCTAAAGAGAAGCAGTTCACACATGTCATGTCTGAATGAGTCATGTAAATATTAAACCCTGGACAATTTCTGCTTCAAACATTTTTATCAGTAAGGCAAGACTTACTGAGCAATACGCAGGTGACTCAGATGGGGTCTGGCACAAAATCAGCTCAATAAATAGTCGAGTGAAAGAACTATTCAATAAATGCAGAAAGTTGGTAAAACTGTTACATTTGAAAGGGAATCTCATTGTCTGATTGTGAGGTGGCATCTCCCCAGGTGCTTTTGGGAAGACCGTTTCCAAACAGTCCTTCTCTACCCCCATAAAAATGATTCTGTGCTGATGCGGAGTTCCCACAGTTTGGGGCAACAACTCAGAAATGGATCTGGTTTGAAGTGAGAGGAATTGTTATCACCCTCCGCTAGGAAGGCCCCAGAATGCTGTGACCAGAATCACCACTTTGGCCTCCTCGCCATCCCCTCCCCTCAAACTGCTGCCCACTTTTTTGGTTGTCTTGCCGGCTCAGTAAGTGTATAGTGAACACTGGAGTTTATGATTGATTTTCAGAAAGGAAGAAAACCATTTCTTTTGGCGGCAGAGCGGGGCCACATTGAAATGATAGAAAAACTTATCTTCCTTAATCTGCATACTTCAGAAAAGGACAAGGTGAAATGGACTTTTATTTCTTTGCTGAGTACCAGAGAAAGGGGAGTGACAGTTGAGGTGTAGATTTGGTGATGGCATTTTGGTGAGCAGTAGAGTTGTTCAGTTGTTACTACAGTCAGAGGGAATCATCGAATATCCAGGTGAAATCAACCCACTTTTTCAGTGGATCGTCCAGATTGCCAATTTTGCTCCATAAATGTCTGTGAAATCAATGGACTACATGGAATTTTCTACTGTCAACTCCAGTTGCTCTTTTCTTCCACTGAGGTCTGCGGGAGACTCAGCCCCACCTGACTAGGGAGGGAAACACTGGGTGGGCATCCATGTCTATGTGCATATCTTTGATACTTTCCTTAGGAGAAATTCCTAGATGTAGAATTGTGGGTCAAAGAGTTCTGCACTTTTTTTTTTTTTTTGAGTTCTGCACATTTTGAAATCTTTTGGTATGTATTGCTAAAACTACCTCCCAGAAATCTTTCACCAGTTTGCCTTCTCAAGGTTATATAGAATTACTTTTATTGTCCCACTTTTGCTAGCAAATTAGCAGCAAAGGTAGAGCAAGGAACATGGATGGATTTTTCCCTTCTCGTTCAAACAGCTATTTATCTTCATTTAACCCTTTGAAAGTATGAATTTCACTTAAAACTGTGGAAAACATGGCCACTACTCTAGCCACAGCTTTAACAGTCTAAAGTAACTCATGGCGGTTCATTTGTTAAACCATTCACTTATTCACCAAAAAAAAAAAAAAAAAATTTAAATATGTGCTCTATGCTAGGTAGAGTATGTTTTCTTATTCTAGAAGCCTACAGGGCAAGAAGAGCATACAAAAAATAATATATCAGGCTAAATGCGGTAATAGATGTATATACAGTGTGCTGTGGGAGCACAAAGGAAAATCTGTTTCAGAAATATCACAGGCTTCACAGAGGAGGTGGTATGTTATGTGGGTCTGAGCATTTGAATGGACAGTGGTACGAGGAGATTGGAGGAGGGCATAAGGGTAGAGTATTTCAGACAGAGGGAAGAACCCGTTTGTAAAGGAACCAAGACATGAAAGAGCATGGTGTGTCCTGGGAATGATAAGTTCAGGGTGGCAGAAATTGAGGATGGGTGGGCTGGGAAAGGTGGATGCCAAGTGGGCCAAGGCAGAGAGACCATGAAAGGCTGTGCTCACCAGGAGGAGGGGTGATTCTGACCTATTGGCAGCAGAGACCTTGGGAGGTTTTAAGCAGCAAACAGGGATGGGATCCATCCTGGGTGTAGGCGGGTAACTGTCACCGTGGTTAGAAGGGGGCATTGATTGGTGCCTGGAGAGGCAGGAGGTGGGGAGTCCCAGTCAGGTGACTGCAGAAGTGGCTGAAGCAAGAGCTACAGAAAGCCTCTCACCAAGGCTCTCACTGGCAGCAAGCAGGATGAGGTGGTAGGAGGAGACAGAGGCCACAGGATTTGTGACCAGGGGATATGGAGAGGGCAGACTTTCTGGCCCCTAGCTCTCTGGCTTGGACTTCCAGGAGGGTGGGGTGCCCATCCCTGAGCTGTGGGGTGCAGGGGAGGAGGGGGTGATGCATGGTGAGTAGTAAGTGTTCCGGAGGGTTCACTCTGAGGCACTGGAGTGGGGAGGGGGTATATTCAGGTGGAGGGCAGCAGGGGGTTAGAAACCGGGCCTGGGGTTCTTGTAAACCCCTTGTGAGTCATCTGCTCTGGGTGGTCACTTTTCAACCTCTGGCTCAATGCCTTCGAGGCTGGCTGTTTGGAGGCTCATGTGAGTGGAGTCCTCTTGGACTTCATAGTTTAATATTCTGACGAATTCTAACTTGGCAGCTCTCCTGAGAGCTACTTTAAGAAGTAATATAATCATTTACTTTAAGACACCGTTGATTGTAAGGCACATCATTATTTCACATAACACTAGGAAAAAATAATGCTGCCAATTAAACTGTGACACAGAAAACTCTCTTGTCATTTAGAATATTTTATATTATTGAGCTTTTAGACTTTTATCTTAGATTTTTTTAATCATAGACATACAAAGGACCAAATAAGCAAGGGAGCTTGGTTAAGTCTTCCTGGACTTCATACATTGAGTCGAATTCTTCTAAATCACTTTCTCGCTCAGAGTCTTGATGTCCTTGCTTTTCCAGACAAAATATTCTCTTTTGTGCCTTCAAAGACGCTTGTGATGCAGTGTTTCTTCAAAAGGTGCCCTGCTGTAGATTCTGAGATTTTCTTCTAAGCCACTGACACCCATTCTGATTTAATGCAAATCGCAAGCCATGACAGCTATATCATGTCTGCTGCCCGGTTGACTGAGGTTGTGAGGTGCATCCTGATCTCAGATATGTTAACATGAGAAACAGGATGTGACTTAGAGTTGGTGGTGTATGGTTATAAAAATAGCAACTGTGGGCAACAAAATGAAAACTGAAGGCTGTGAAAGTGGGCATGTGTGATGCCTGGGAAAAGTCAGTATTCCCCTTGGACCAGAGAAGCATAATCAGCCTGGTCACATGCATCCCTGGACTGGGATTAAAAGCAGTGCTCTGACTGCCTGGGTCTGATCCTGGCTCCATCACCCCAGCTAGATGATTTGGGGCACGATACTTGGCCCCTCTCAGCCTTAGCTTCCTCATCTATCAAGCCTTATAAGGCCTTAGTGAGGTTTCAAATGAAAGGCTGTGTCACACACCTAGTTCAAGGGATGGTGCCTGGCACATGGTAAGTGTGCAACAAGTGGTATCCGGTGTCATCACCGGTGTTATCTGGGTGCAGTACGTGGGATCTTGGTTATCATCGGTATCAGTGGTACATATTGTTATTACCCTCCTTTTTCTCTCTTCCACTTCCTAGGAAAATGTAAGCCAGGCTTTCAGCTGAGGATCATGGACAAAAGTAGAGCCTTGATTTGTTTATTTTTATGTGTGTGGCCATCTGACCTAGTGAAGATCAGGCTGAACTAGTTTAACTTAAAGAAGAACCTAGGAATTTGGTCTTCTTGAATAAGAGTTATGAATGTGAGAAACTCAAAAAGAACGTGATTCACCTAGGATAAGTCTTAGCCATGATTGGCCTTCACAAATCAATGTAGAGATCCAGTCCTATAGTCATAGGATTTAATTTAAAGTCTCAGTTGTGCTTGCCCTGTTTTGCTTTAATACTTTACCACTGGAATGTGTGCACTTGGATTTCATCTACCTTTTAGTTATTTTCGCGTTGGGGCACGTTGAGGAAAAGTCATAAAGTCCAACAAACTGCAATTGTAGATTGTGATGGGTTTTATTTGCACAAAGTGAAGTATCTAGTGATAATATTAGCCTTTTGGATGAAGCCCATAATGTACATACAGTCTTGGGCTGCCTCTGTTTCCTGACATAGGCTGTTGCCTGACCAGTTGGACTAGGCTCATGGGACTAGGCTCTAGAGCAGTGGTCTCCAAACACTCTGGTTAGCAAACTCATACCAGTAAAGAAAGTTTGAGCATGCACCTAATCACATGTACATTTATCATTAAATTAATATATTATAAAACATATGCCAGAAATATAAATTTTAAAGATTGAGATAAAAATAAACATAAATAGCAATTTTCATATTTTTCTCTACACTGAAAGGATTATCTTGTAAATATCTGATGCATTTTCCTTCCAGTTTTCTTTGTGTTCCTATGCATGTATATTTTTAGTGCCTGCCCAAAATTCATTTAGCTGTTCTTTAGCTCTTGGACATTTAGGTGTTTTTTTTTTAATCTTTTTCTTTTTAAATAAATAAATTTATTTATTTATTTATTTATTTTTGGCTGTGTTGGGTCTTCGTTTCTGTGCGAGGGCTTTCTCTAGTTGCGGCGAGCGGGGACCACTCTTCATCGCGGTGCGCGGGCCTCTCACTACCTCGGCCTCTCTTGTTGCAGAGCACAGGCTCCAGACGTGCAGGCTCAGTAGTTGTGGCTCACGGGCCCAGTTGCTCCGCGGCATGTGGGATCTACCCAGACCAGGGCTTGAACCCGTGTCCCCTGCATTGGCAGGCAGACTCTCAACCACTGCGCCACCAGGGAAGCCCCTGACATTTAGGTTTTGTTCAGTTTTTCTTTACTATTAAAGTAATGCTGTCATGAACCTCTTTGTATACAAACTTTAGTCTGTATTCCTCATTATTTCCTTTGGGTATATTCTTAGAGGTAGGAAAGCTGGGTCAAAGATATAAATGTTTATTAGGCTCTTGATATATTAAAGACATGAATTCTTTCCTTCACAATTTTTGCAAATATTTTTCCAGTGGGGTTTTCCTTTTGGCATCTCTTTTCCTGGAAAAGGAGAAGGCAGATTATGAAAAGAAATTCCTCTCTAACAGATGGCTGTCCCAGGCTCTCAGGGGAAGCTGCTGGGATACAGTTTTTCCATCTCAGTGGGATAGGAACATTGGTTCCATGCTCTTTTGTCCCTGTTAACATGATTGTTTGTACCTAATTAGCTACAAGTAAAATTGTCTGAACTTATCCTAGCTGTTAGGCAGAATAATGTCCAAGGTGGAGAATGGTTAGGACATGGGGAAGGAATTCTGCATTTCTTCCCAATATTTTTAGGAAAGAATCTGCATGAGGAGGGGGAAGTATCCAAGTAGCTATTGTGTGAGACCAGTTCCTTCTTTTCTATGTTGTGGCCTAAACTAAACTCACTTTGTCCTACTAGCGTTTATCATAATGAGTTTCAGGAACCTTAGTTACTAAGGTAGGGTATTACATTTTTTTAAATGACATGCAATATTTTAAATCAGTTTTAAAGGTTAAAACTGTACTTGGTACAAATGTGCTTCTATTTTTGTATTTCATACTGCATTTTAGTTCCTCATTTCCATGATTATCTTTCTTAACAAGCTGTTACCTTCTTGTAGACAGGGTCTGGATTCTAGTTGTCTTCCCAATCCCAGTGCCTACTACTGTCTGACAAACAGCAGGTGTCTAATAACTGTTTGTTAGATTAATAAAGATCGAGAGTATGAATGATGGAGGGAAGGTGAGAAAGGAGGCAGTGTAACAGTGTAGTTAAGAATGCAGGCTTTGGAGCCAAAGAGCTAGACTTGCATCCTAGCTTTGCCACTTTTCAACTGAGGCTTAGTTTCCTTATGTGTAAAGTGGGAATGATAACCCTGACCTCAGAGTCGTTGTGTAGTTAAACTGTGCCAAAGCATATAGTCTTGGCAGTATAAGTTGGCACATAGATGCTCAGTAAATGCTATCTATTAAGAGTAATGCACAAGAGATAGAGAAAGCATGCTGTTTCTCAAGTAATTTCATTCCATGCCAAGGGGCAATTCATTTTAACTTTTTTTCTGTTTGTTAGAATGGCGAAACACCATTCTTCTTAGCTGTTGAAGGAGGTCATGTAGAATTCAGCAAAGTGCTACTGGCAGCAGGAAGTGATATCAGCATTCCAAATAAAGTATGTGCTCCATGTCTATTTACTCACACGGGGAGGGGGAATCAGAATGTTCTCTGGGTAATCTGGTCCTGCACTGACCCATTCACTGGGCTTTTGTAGAATTAATACAGTTGTCCCTCGTATCCGCGGGGGACTGGTTCTAAGACCTGCCTATGGGTACCAAAATCTATGGATGCTCCAATTCCTTATGTAAAATGGTATAATACAGTCCTTATCCATGGTTATCCATCCAACTGTGGGGGGCAGGGGGATTTGGAAGGCCAATTGTATTAATAATTCGCTTACTTTGGGATAAGAATTAATGACTTACCTCTGACATTCCCCTATTAACGTTTCCTCAAAAACAATACCATTCTCCCTATTTATTTGGGGAATAATTTATTTGGAGGATAATTGAAAATAGGGCAAAAGTAGCAGATAGTTGTTGCTTCTCAAACAGACACTTTTATTCTACTTGGTTTTCTTCCTAGAAACAAGTAGTACCTGGCTTATACACAGCAGATGCTGAAAAAGAAAATCGTGTAAAAAGCCAAGTGGTCATTCTGGAGCCTGAAGAAGACAGGATGATGCCTTCTTCTAGGTACAAAATACAAAATACTTTGGTGCTGAGATCCTTTGACACTGATCTTCATTTATTTAAAAAAAATTTTTATTTTATTTTAATTAATTAATTATTTTTGTGTGTGTGGTACGCGGGCCTCTTACTGGTGTGGCCTCTCCCGTTGTGGAGCACGGGCTCCGGACGCGCAGGCTCAGCGGCCATGGCTCATGGGCCCAGCCGCTCCGCGGCATGTGGGATCTTCCCGGACCGGGGCACGAACCCGTGTCCCCTGCATCGGCAGGCAGACTCTCAACCACTGCGCCACCAGGGAAGCCCAAATTCTTTTATTTTAAATATTTTTTGGCCGCACTGAGCAGCTTGTGGGATCTTAGCTTCCTGACCAGGGATGGAACCGAGGCCCATGGCAGTGAAAGCACCGAGCCCTAACCACTGGACTGCCAGGGAAGTCCCTCACTGTATAAAATTATATATACATAGACAAGATTGCAAGAGAGAGTGGAATATGTAGGGTGAGGTGATTCCCACTGGAGTTGCAAGGTTTTTTATGTGATAAATGAGCCCAGAGTTAAGAATTCACAGGGCCCAGGAAACATTCAGAATATGGAGAGAAGTGCTGTTTTTCTGTCATGCCCAGGTGCCCCTCTGCCCCCAGTCTGCAGCCTCCCTGGAAAGGCCTCCCTTATTAGCAAGATCCTCCTGGGATCACTCCTTTTGGCTCGCCTCGTTGCTCTGTGCCTCCCTCCCTTCTGTACTTAATTATTTGGCCCTCTGAAGGTTTTGCTTTGTAATGGCTTTCACATGCTCGCATTCTCCCCACCCTGCCAGGGCTGTAGGCTCCACGTTGTCCATATCCTTATGGCCTTGGCCTCATCCAGACAGCCTGGAAATTGTCCTAAGTCTGTTTTACATCTATTAGCCCCCCCCCCCCCCCCCCCGGCTGCTGTCCACACCTGTCTCCCCCCAGTCCAGTAAAGGCCCCCAGGGAAACAAGCAGCAGGAAGCAGGAAGCCAGAAGCAAGGATACACACCAGGGTTGTGTGAGGCTCATTTTGCTTTTACATCTGTAGGTGATTACTGTGTTTGATCTTGGAAATGCTTCACCCGCTGACATTAGTTAGTCTTGTTCTCCAGGAGCTTGCTTTGCACCCACCCAGCTAAGGGGAGGGGATAAAGGTCGAGTCATTTCTGAGGAGGGTAGTGGGGAGAGATTGTGGATTTAGCTGCCTATGGAGACTGCCTCCATTGGAGCTGGGTGGAGAGGCTGCCTAGCTACCCTGGGTCTAGTGAATACTTTCTGTAGACCCTAAGAATTCCATATTTCTGGAGGCCCTATCCTCACATCTTATCAAATAACTTTAAATGCCCCCACATTCCACATTAAATATCTCTTTTCTTTTGCTGTAAATTATTTTTTAAAGGCTTTTTTATTTGTGCATTTACAATCATTTGGATATGATAAACTACCTTAATTTATGATTGACTCTGACTTCTTAGAACTCTGTGCAGACCTGAGAATAAGGGAGGTGAAAAAGTTTAACCTACAATTTGTTTACAGTGTAATGAATACCTTATGAAGATTACATTTAGCAATCAACGAAGTATGAACATGTCAATTAAATATTCACTTCAGTTTTGTGCTTTTCTTTTGGTATCTTGGAACCAACTTTTTTTTTTAAATAAAGAATGGCATGACTTTTTAAATAAAATTATTTTATTTTATTTATTTATTTTTGGCTGCGTTGGGTCTTCGTTGCTGCGCGCGGGCTTTCTCTAGCTGCCGCGAGCCGAGGCTGCTCTTCATTGTGGTGCACGGGCTTCTCACTGCGGTGGCTTCTCTTGTTGCGGAGCACGGGCTCTAGGCACGTGGGCTTCAGTAGTTGTGGTGCACAGGCTCAGTAGTTGTGGCTCGCGGGCTCTTGAGCACAGCAGGCTCAGTAGTAGTGGCGCACGGGCTTAGTTGCTCCCTGGCATGTGGGATCTTCCCAGACCAGGGCTCGAACCCGTGTTCCCTGCATTGGCAGGCGGATTCTTACCCACTGCACCAGCAGGGAATCCCAACCTTTTTTTTTAAGATTTCAAATATTTCTTTAGCTCTTAAAAAGTCTGTAGGCCCTACACACTGTGCCTGTTGTGCCTCATGGATAAAATGCCACAGACTCCTATAGCTCTTCCCACTATAGGGTTCCTGGCTTTGGGCTCTTCACAAGCCTGTTTCTGCATCAGATCTTTCCACTGGGGGGATACCTCCTACCATTCTGATCTCAGTCTAGACGTCACCCTATCCAAGAAGCTTTTCTTGATCACTCACTGGAAAGAAACCATCCATTCATGCTATTTTACTTCTCATTGTAGCATTCTCATTGTCACTAGCTGATGTTATTCTTCTAATAATGTCTAGAATCTAATAAATGGGTTCTAAATCTACTGATCTACTGATCTACCAATCAACTGATTGTCCACCGCTACTGAATGTAACGTCAGAGATCTTGTCGGTTTAGTCATAGCCCCCGCAGTCTAACATGGGGGCTGACACGTAATAAGTGCTCAGTAATTTTTTGTGGAATGAATAAGATGATACTTGTGATTATTGTACACGTTTACTAGCTCATTTATTTTCCAAGTGTTGCTTTGGTTTGAGAGAAATAGGTAGGATGGTGTGGTAGGCAGAATAACGGCCCCCAAAGATGTCCACGTTATGACCTTTGGAACCTGTGAGTATGTGAGGTTACATGACAAAGAGGAATTAAGGTTGCTTTGCAGATGGAATTAAGGTTGCTCATCATCTGACCTTACAATGAGATTATCCAGGTGAGCCTAATGTAATCACCAGGGTCCTTTTAAAAGGAAGGAGGAGGCCGGCAGGGAGGTCAGAAGGATGCAACATGAGAAGGACTCAGCACACCGCTGCTGACTTTGAAGGTGGAGGAAGGGGGCTGCAAGCCAAGGAATGTGGGTGGTTTCTACAAACTGAAAAAGGTAAAGAAATGGATTCTCCTGAAAGCCTCCAGAAAGGCCTTTATTTTCACCCAGTGAGACTCATTTCAGACTTCTGACCTCCAGAGCTGTAAGATGATACATTTGTATTGTTTAAGGCAGTAAGTTTGTGGTAATTTGTTATTAGCAGCAATAGAAAACTAATAATATAGGTGGTTATGTCATTTTTACAGAGGAAAACATAGAGGCCCATCCTTGAGAGGCCATTTATTCAAGGTCATATAGGCATTTAGTATCAGCTCAAGCTAGACTCCAGTTGGTCAGAGCGTGTATCATTCCTGTGAGTATTTATACCACTTATCTATTACTTCATAACAAACCAACCCAAAGCACAGTGGCTTAGAACAATGCACTGTTATCTTTCCTGGCTCTGAGGGTTGACTGAGCTCAGCTGGGAGATTCTTACATTGGGTCGGGTATGTGGTTGCAGTCAGTTTCGGCCAGGACTTCAGTTGTTTGCAGACTTACCTGAGGTGGATGTCCACAGTGGCTCACTCACATGCCTGGCAGTTGAGGTTGGCTATCAGCTGGGGCTCTTGACAAGAGCACCAGCGTGCGGCGTCTGCATTGCCTTCTCATAGCATGGCAGCTGGCTTCCATGATGTAGGGAGCAGAAGCTGCCAGGCCAGTTAAGGGTCACACCTGGAACTAGCACACTGTCACTTCTGCCATATTCTGTTGGCCAAAGCAGTGACAGGGTCTACCCAGATTCAAGGGGGTGAAGAAATAAACCCCACTCCTTGGTGGGGAGTGGCAGGGTCACACTGCAGAAGAGCAGATTGGATGAGACATACTTATGTAGCCATTTTAGGAAAACATACTAACCTACAGCCTCCTTACTCTGAGGACCTGAAAATACTTTGCAGCAATCCTGCAATTACAGGACACCCCCTTCCTGGGATACCAAAATCCAAGGATGCTCAAGTCCCTTAAATAAAATGCACAGTATTGGCATGTAAGCTATGCACAGCCTCCCATGTACTTTATTTTTAAACAGTTTTTACTTATTATTTTTGGCTTCATTGCTGGACGCGGGCTATCTCTAGTTGCGGCGAGCGGGGGCTACTCTTTGTTGTGGTGCGCAGGCCTCTCATTGCGCTGGCTTCTCTTGTTGTGGAGCATGGGCTCTAGGTGTTCAGGTTTCAGTAGTTGTGGCTCATGGGCTCAGTAGTTGTGGCTTGCAGGCTCTAGAGCTCAGGCTCAGTAGTTGTGGTGCACTGGCTTAGTTGCTCCGCGGCATGTGGGATCTTCCTGGACCAGGGCTCGAACCTGTGCCCCTGCACTGGCAGGTGGATTCTTAACCACTGTGCTACCAGGGAAGTCCCCTCCCATGTACTTTACATATCTCTAGGTTACTTATAATACCTAATACAATGTAAATTCTATGTAAATAATTATAAATAGAATGTAAATGTTATGTAAATAGTTGCCAGCACGTGAGCGAATTCAAGTTTTGCTTTTTGGAACTTTCTGGAATGTTTTTTTTTTTTTAATATTTTTGATGCATAGTTGGTTGAATTTGCAGATGCAGAACCCGTGAATTTGGGGGACCAACTGTAATCAGTCCATAACTATCCACTGAACTTGTCTTATTGCAAGGCCTTTTGGAGGAGGGCAGGATAATCAAGAGCAGGCCCTGACCTAAGTAGTTTGCCCTCTAGCATGGGCACTAAGTGAAGGAGAGATGCTAAAGAAGTTGAGTGAAAGGGCTGTGAGGGAACCTGCACATAGGCAGCAATCATGCTGAGTTCTGAGGTGGTACCTGTAAAGGGGAGAGTTGCTAGTAAATGGTCAGGGCGGGAGAGGGTGGATGCACTTCTGGGGCCAATACCAAGTTCAGTTCTTTTGGCTCAAGGAGGGGGTTTGCAGGGTGTATAGAGAGAAGGCTTGGCCCTAGTCTACTTCCTGGAGAAGGGAAGGATTTTAGCTCATATTTGCCTGAGGCATGTGTTGTCTACGATTCTTCTCTTTTAAATGGGAGATACCTAGAAGCAACCAAAAGCCCCCCCAGCCCCAAATGATCAGAAACACGTTGAATTTTATTTTTTAACTAGGCATACTATTTTATTGTATTAATTGATTACCATGGAATGAACACCAGACACCATGCTAGATTCTAATGGGAATCCCTCCGTGCCTTCTCTCTCCACCTGTCTCCTGCAGCTCGATATCAGTGCTTTGCAGATAGCACCCCGGAACAGCCACGCATCCCTTGTCAGCTTTCTTCTCAGTGAGAACGTTGATCTGCACCAGAAGGTGGAAGTGAGTCAGTCTATTATGATAACATGGGCTTTGATCCCAGCTCTGTGAGGCTGGCTGTGCTGGGAGACACTCCTTGCAGATGCATGGAGGGCTGGAGCGGGGAGACAAGTGATCACAAAGGAGGAATTCTTTCTGGGAGGGCCGACTGACTTCTTCTGGAGACGGAGTCTTAATCTTAAGAAATACAATCCAAGGGATGAATTTTAGAAAGTCATTGAAGTTCCTGAACAAAATGAAATCTTTGTGTTTTAAATATTTACATTTGCTGCAGTTAATTTTTCTCATGTATCTAGAGATGCCAGTCTTGTATTAAATTTATCAGTCTGGGAAAATGATGAAACTGCTGTTAATAGGAAGGAGAATGATTATTTTTCCCGCTTCACTGACCGATCTTGTTTTTCTTTTGAAAGTCAGTCATTTGTATTGATTTAGGTTTTCTGAAGTTCGAATTGGCTTTGGTAGAATTAACAAACGCCCTCTGTGCTGGAATTAGATGGGGAAACATTCCCCTATTTTTCACTCTACTTTCACTTCTCCTGTGAGAATATTCTTTTCTCTAATATTGCTTAGCCATTACTATTTATTGTATTAACTGGAGAGGAGGGATGTGATTTAACCCATGACTGGTAGTTTTTGGAGAATGGCATTAGGGGAACTGGTTCTGACCTTGCCTGGTCCATCCAAGGATGCTTCCTGTTTCTCAGGAGGAATTGGGCCCCAGCAAGGCCAGTGGTCCCAGGCACTGCTTACGTCCCTGGGATGAGGGATACGTTCTCTTTTTTCATCCTTAGCGCCTTTAGAGAGAAGGTCCTCCCTGAGCAGAAGAGGTCTGCACAGAAAGCTTTTCCCTCTGGCTGCCCCTCTGCCCCATCTGTCTCCCACTTCCCCTGCTCACCTTTGGACAGTCTGACATACACAGACATAGCATTCCACCTGCCCCTGCTTTCTTTCTCCTCTGTGTGCTGGTGAATCCCTTGCTAACTCACGACGTCTCTCTTCCATCCGTCTACCCCTGTTTCCTGGGGAGGAGCCTGGTGCTGCTGCTGGAGTCAGGAAGATCTGGGTTCAAATCCTGTCTCTGCTCCTTCCTAGCTCCAATGCCTTGCGGAAGTGACTTCACCTCTGTGCCTCATATATAAAGTGGGGAAGAGAAACCCTAACTGCTAGGGTGGTTGTGAATGAAAAGCTGTTAGCCCGGTGTTTCAAACAGAGTATAAACTGTAGGGGAAGTGAGTGAGTAGTAGGCACCATTAGGAGAATGTGTTGTATGTGCATAAATGATGCTGATTAATGTCATCTGCTCTGCTTGCACCCTGTCCTCACCACCCACCTTGCAGCATCTGTGTTCCCTCTTTCCACGCATTTTGCCTCTCAGCTCAACTACTGTTGTCCACACAGTCTCACTGCATCTTCTGCCCCCGCTCTCACACCTTACCTGGGTTCTCCTCGCCTTTTTTTTTCCTCCTTGCGTCTGCCTTTTCTACCCCTGGAGATGTGTTTTCTCTCGAGCCTCCTGGGCCAGTGGCAGCTGGGTGGGAGCAAAGGCAGCAGGGGCTTGTATGAGTGACCCTGGAGGTGGGCACTGAGCCTGGCAGGGCTGGTAAGAAGCCTGTGGTAGAGGTGGCTGAGCCACAAAGGAGGAGGGAAGGGGAACAGGCTGCAAGGGCCTGGTGAATACGCGATGGCTGGGCTCTACATAGGTGGGAGGGCTGAGCACGGACGGTGCCCCTGGGTGAGTGGGGCATTAGTCCCACAACATGATCTAGGGAGAAAGAACCCAAGATCAAAGCAACTCGGGGAATGCTGAAGGGGAATGCTGTTGCTTCCTTGTGGCTGTTCCCACTGCACTTTAGCTCTTTGAAGCCTCTGGGAAGTCCTGCAGTTAAGCTGTTTAATATTTCCTTAGCCTTCATATTTGAGCTCAAATGTCAATTCTTCAGGAAAGCCTTTTCTGACTTCCAGAAAGTTTGGCCCTCGGCCCACACCCACATGTGCTCTCTTCCCGCTGTGCACTTTCCTTCAAGGCACTTACCACAATGTGTAACTGTACATTTATTTTGTGACTTAAAAAAAAAAAAATCAATCTCTGCTTTCCCT